TTGTCGTCGCCGAAGAAGTGAGAACTGAAGACATCGAGTGTGACCTGAGATGCGATATGAAGTCTGAGATGAAATCGGATCCAAAACCGGGAGAATTCATATTAAGGACTCTTTTCGCAGAGTTCGGTGTTTTGGCCCAAAAGAAGATCGATTACGTCTTGTGTTCGGAACCGTTGGAGAGACCGCTCTCTAAGTCTTTACAGAGAGGAGAAGATCCCGTGTTTGACCAGTTGTTGACCGCTTTCGGGTCAGTGGCTGAACACTGTCTGCCATCGCTGTTGAGGACACTGTTTGCGTGGTATGACAGACAACTGGAGGACAAAGAGCTGACTGCGTCCCAGACCTCGCAGACCAGTGTCGACCACAAGAGCGTCAAATCGTTGTCTGACTCGCAGTCGAAGGCGACGGCGAAGAATCTGACGAACAGTGAGAGCACCGAAAGGGCTGAACAATACTATTTGCTGGAGAAGAGAGATCTGGCCGTTGAGTTCATCTTCTGTCTCGTTCTCATAGAAGTACTCAAACAGTTGTCATTACATCCCGGGTATGAAGAGCTCACGAATCACATCGAAGTGTTGGCCTTCAAGCACTTCCGGTTCCGCGAAGACGCCCAAAATGACCCGAATCTGCAGAACATTAATATGATTGCAGATCTTTACGCCGAAGTGATCGGAGTGTTGACTCACTCACGCTTTCAATCCGTCCGCAAGAGGTTTATGAATGAGTTTAAAGAGTTGCGAAACAAAGACCCGAATCCTATCACAACTCATAGCATAATAAGTCTGTTAATGGGAATGAAGTTCTTTCGGATCAAAATGGTTCCGATCGAGGAGTTTGAGGCCTCGTTTCAGTTTATGCACGAATGCGCCCAATATTTCCTCGAAGTGAAAGACAAAGACATTAAGCACGCGTTGGCCGGACTCTTCGTCGAGATACTGGTTCCCGTGGCCGCCACTGTCAAGAACGAGGTGAACGTTCCCTGTCTTAAGAATTTTGTTGAGATGTTATACCCGCCGACACTCGACTTGTGTACCAAAAAGAAACACAGTTTAGCGCTCTTCCCACTCGTCACGTGCCTTCTCTGTGTCAGTCAGAAGACATTCTTCCTAATGAATTGGCATTACTTTCTGGCGATGTGTTTACAGCACCTCAAGAATAGGGATCCGAAGATGTGTAGAGTAGCGCTCGAGTCGTTATATCGACTGCTTTGGGTGTATATGATTCGCATCAAATGCGAGAGCAATACCGCCACTCAAAGCCGACTCCACAGTATTGTCAACTCTCTGTTCCCGAAGGGATCTAAAGCCGTTGTGCCCAGAGATACACCGCTTAATATATTTGTCAAAATTATCCTATTTATAGCTCAGGAAAGGCTTGACTTTGCAATGAAAGAAATAGTATTTGATTTGCTATCAGTCGGGCGTTCAATAAAAATTATTCTCACACCAGAGCGGATGTCTATTGGTTTGCGCTCTTTCTTAGTGGTGGCCGATAGTCTTCAGCAAAAGGTATTGTTTTTATCTCTTTAAATATAACTTATATGAAATATAACGGATTCTAATGGATAGGATGGAGAGCCACCGATGCCCAGAACAGTGGGAGTTCTTCCCTCAGGCAATACATTGCGCGTAAAGAAGACATTCTTAAATAAAATGCTAACCGAAGAGATGGCGAGGACTATAGGAATGAATCACTACTACCCTTATGTGCGAAAGACATTGAGTGATATTCTGCGCGCACTCGATGTGCAGTTCGGTCGGCCTTTAATGATGACAAACGTCCAGAATATGAACAAAGAACCGGATGATATGATTACTGGCGAACGCAAACCCAAAATCGATTTGTTTCGCACGTGTGTTGCGGCTGTTCCGCGTCTTATTCCCGATGGTATGTCTAAACAAGATTTAGTGGATCTCTTGGCCCGACTCACAGTCCATATGGACGAAGAGATGAAAGGTTTGGCTTTTCAATCACTACAGAATATGATCGTTGATTTCCCCGATTGGCGCGAAGATGTTATCGAAGGGTTTATTCATTTCCTGTTGCATGAAATCAATGACTCGTTTCCCACTTTAATTGATAATTCATTGCGAATGTTATTGCAATTGTTGACGAGTTGGAAGCATTCGCTTCAACATAACAATAACGGCAATCAAAACAAAGATCAGACTTGTGCTGAACCGGGTTTGGTTGTGACCAAAAATGAACACTTATCTAATGTGTTACATAATGTCGAGGCATTAGCTTTAGTGATGCTCTGCTATTGTCGTCAACCCGTCCGTCGCATTGCCGCCCATATTCTCAAAGAGATTAAATTGTTGTTTAAATTGCTGTTTGCGGACAAAGAATGCGATGAAGCGGTGGCTTCTGTTATGGACAGAATATGTCCACAAGTGGTGGAATTGAGTTTTCCATATTTGCCCTCAAGTGAGAAGTCTATGATAATAGCAGTCTCTATGAATGTGGACCTCCATTGGTTGGCCGAACGAAGCGGAAGTGCTTGGGTTTCGGGTCAGACAGAAGTAGAGAATGAGTCAATTAATAAGACAGACAATTGTGAGACACAAATTGACACCGAGTCAAAGATGAACGCCTGGTCCGTGTGTTTCATGGCTTTAATCGATGAAGTAGTCAAATGTTGTCCATCTGTAATATCCCTTTCGTGGCCATTGATATGCCATCGTTTGAATACATTGTTCACACACTTAGACCCAAATCCGGTCAGCGATAACAGAGCGACTGCTTTATTAAGAGGAACCACTTCTACAGTGAAAAAGTCGTCAACAGAGCGAGACTTTTATTTAGAACTGTGGAAAAATTACTTGATGTACACGTGCCGTATCGCACCCGCAAATATCACTAATTGCTTAGCATCCGTCAGATATATACCGGACGAGACCTGTGCCTCTCCTGACAGTCTGTCATCTGAGAGATCAGTGGAGAACAGGTCTCCGATGAACCGAGGAGTGAGCGCTCAAAGCCTTTTCAAACAAATTATACCACTCTTACGAAGCGAACAAAACGATTTGGGAAATGCTGTCGTTTTAGGTGTCTCTCATGTCAACCAATTTGTGTTTAAAGAGCTTATGGAAGAACTCGTGCCGTATATTAGAGAAGCTTTTGATCGAAAACAAGAGAATCTGAGGCGAAGGAAGAGACGAGAAATGTTAAGAATACAAATATCAAGACTCTTAAAACTCATATCCGATCGAAATATTTTAGGTTTGAGTCAATGTGTTATCGATAGAGACGCCGGTTGTCTGAGCAATACGTTCATTGAGTACATCGATGGCGCCCGACTTTACTTAGAGACTGAGACCGACAAAGACTCAAACTCTTTGGTCCAAGACATCAAACAGTCGTTTTGTTCATTCATATACCGATTGATCAAAAGCTTTTCGATTGAAATTCGACCCAATCTTTTAAGTCGCGAATTGAGACGAAATCTGTTTTATTTGTTCGCCTCTTGGAGTGGAGATTATGGCAATCATGTGTTTATTAATTATAAACAACACAATTACGCCGAGGCGTTGAAACCCATCACTGAATTGGAGTACTTCTCGCTATCGGCTATGTCTTCAGTGCTATGCTGTGGCTCTATCTTTGATCCGCAATGTCTTTTCGATGAGAGCAATCTCTATGTATGGCTCAATCATTTGCTAAGCAGTAAACAAGAAAAAGTGACTGAACTCGCACTCGAGACCATTGTCCTACTGCTTGAGTACAACACAGACTCGGGTTCTCTATTGGATTGGTTGGTGGACTCGTGTTTCACCAAAGAGACCAACATCTCTGACGGCTGTTTCAAAGCGATCGCCACAATATTTTCTGTTCGCGAATATCCGTGCGATCATTACATCGCTATCATAAACGTGACGCTAATGAACATCGGGTGCCCGCGAGCGCACATCCATCAGTTGGCGTTGCATTTGTTGCATATACTCGACAATCGATTCTTTGGCTCTAAGACTAATGACATTTTGAGTGATGAATATCGGCTCATGAAGGATGACATCGAAGAAGAAAATGTTGGATTAAATGAATTTGATTTTGACAATCATTACAACGATGTGTCAGAAATTCATTTACGACGAAAATATACCAAATATGAAAACAATTACGAGCCGTTGCTTTCAAATGTGTATCCGTGCTCTCAGTTAGAGATATCTCGCCGTATGGCTCACTTCCATCCACAGCTATCAATGCCTGTCTTTTCTGAGATCACGTGTCGATTCCAAACCGCAAAACCGACGGTTTGTCAGAATTTGCTGCAATACTTGATTCCATGGCTCTATAATATAGAATTGGTTGATCCAAACATCACTCCATCACAGAATCCATTTACTATTTATTCCGAGGCAAATGACTTGGATATGGACAACAAGTTTGCCAAAGAAGGCTGGGGTTCAGTGGAAGCGTCGGAAATGGTATTAAATAATTTGTTTTATATTACTGTCAAATTTGGCGACTATTATCCTAAAGAGATAGAGGATGTGTGGTCTGCGTTGTGTGCCTTTTGGCCAAACAATCTGCGAATAATTATCCGATACCTGTTTATATTGACGGGTTTGGCCAATGATTTGCTCCCATCGGCCAAACGAGTTGTCATCTATTTGTCACATTCAAAAGCCGAGGGTTTAATCGACGAACTTATGTCCGAATTGCAAACAGTCGAGTCATTGAATTGTTTGACTGAACGGACAGAAGCGCCGCCTTTTTTCCGGATAACAAGCATAAGGAAAGGCAGCGGGCATTCAGAGGACGGCTGTGTTAACGGCTCGAACGGTAACTCTGAAGGCGGGAACTCTACTGTCGTTACATTCAACGAATCGGGAACTCTTCACACCAAAAGACACAGCGCTGCCGAAGGCATAACAGGCGAACGCTATTGTTGTTACAATAACTGTCTTAATGACAATTGTAAACTCGATATTTGCTGCAAAAATGACAAAATGCACGGCTTTTGTGACGAGCAGTTTATTAAAGAGCATTATATGTCAAATCAATCACAAAAACCAATGACACCGCAACCAAGACCTCTGCCAATGCCTGAATTCGGCGGTTATTACGCGCCGTTGACTGAATTCCTGCCGACGACCGGACAGCCGGTGGTGGGCTTTCATCGCTGCAATTTGGCGCTTATGCTTCTCTCAGATCTGATGATTGATGGCATATCACTGGACTGGACGCCACACATACCTCTTATGCTTCACATTATATTTCTCGGTTTAGATCACAATCGATCTCTAGTTCACGAACACTGCAAACAACTTCTCCTTAATTTAGTGATAGTTATGACTCAACACAACGACCATTTGAATGTCGCCCGCATTCTTCTTAGTAACCGAACCCAACAATTGGGGTACGGATTGGGAACGGGAACTGGCATTACATCCAACACCACTAATCCGGTGATCAATTTTATTGATCCGCCGAACGCCAAGACTTTCAATTCCAATTCAAACGGCAGTTCCCGTCAAAGCAGTTTAGGCCGCAATAAGAGTCGTTCCGTTTTCACCGGTATATTACTTGCGAAAGACAAGAACCAAATGAAACCCATTGAAGACTCCAATGTCAAAGAGACCGAAACTACCGACGATTCGAATACAGCGGACACTAAAACACACTATTCTCTCGAAACGCTCATTAAATGTCTGATTGAATTCTTATCAGCAAAAAGAGGAGTTCCTCTTTGGAACTACGAGGACATTACAGCCAAAGTGTGGTCAATCCGTTCTGCGGATCAGTTGTCACACTTTATTGAACACATTTTATATGTGTTCAAAGAATCACTTCCAGCGGCTAAGATCGAGGAGCGATGGTCTGAGATATCGCTGCAGTTGGCGCTGTCTTGTTCTTCACGTCACTACGCGGGCCGTTCTCTTCAGATATTCCGTGCGCTTAGAATGCCTTTGAATTCAAGGATGTTATCCGATATATTGTCGCGTTTAGTGGAGACGGTGTCAGAACAGGGGGAGGATATGCAGGGATACGTAACCGAACTCATGCTTACATTAGAAGCGGCGGTCGATTCGCTTGATTCGGATCCTCGTCTCTTCGGAGAACTCGTCCGAGAGTTCTTCAAATCGACACCGAATTTGAATTCAAATAACAGACGGAGCGCACCCGTCGGCACCACCTCTTCCATTGCCAACACTTCAATGAGCAGCTCATCCACTGTTGTGTCCAATAGTTTGCCGGCGAGTGTCTCATCAGCTCCACTAATGCGCCACCAAATGGCGGCTCAAACTCACACAAGAAGTACTTCCTATTCAGTCTCATATCCGACCAGAAAAGTAATGAATGAATTGAATCATTCAGATATGAGGGAAATGAGAAGCAGAACTAATACGGATTCAGAAACTTATCGAAATACCGGAGCCGTTAACAACACATCATTGGGTCGATCGAGAAGTGCTCAGTCTTTAAAGACATTGGAAGAGCAACAGTATATGACGATTGACGACAAGACATCACTATTGGCCCAATTCTTTTGGATAGCAGTCGTAATGCTTGAAACCGATTACGAACACGAATTCCTTCTGGCATTACGTCTATTCGACAAACTGTTGTCGAAATTAAGTTTAGATAAAAGCGATTCTCAAGAAAAACCCAATTCTTTTGGATAGCAGTCGTAATGCTTGAAACCGATTACGAACACGAATTCCTTCTGGCATTACGTCTATTCGACAAACTGTTGTCGAAATTAAGTTTAGATAAAAGCGATTCTCAAGAAAAAGTGGAAAAGATATTTATGCAAATGAAATGGAATCAGTTTCCAGGCGTTCACTCCCTGTTGTTGAAGGGCTGTACGTCTCCGATCACATACGAGCCCACAATGAATCTGTTGCACAAAATGACTCCTTTGCTTGAAATCAAAGTCATCGACCCCTCAGAATCGGCCAATTCTTTTCCCTATCATATTATGTCTCAATTGCCGTATCTTTTGCTTAATTATGACGAACCCAACTCTCTGTGCACTCAAGTAAGTGTTTTTAAACGTTATTAAATTATGTTTTACTTATTTACAAAATGTGTAATAATGTGTTGTCCGGTGTTATGATAGGCGGCTGAGAATATAGCGCTTTGGTGTACAGAAAAATCTAAAAAACTGGACAATTTGGCAACAGTTATGATGCTATACAGCAGACGCTCGT